GGCGGGGTGTGCTTCCCTTTCTGAGCAGCTAAAAGATGTTTGAAGGGGTGGGGCCTGCGGGTGGGAACCTGTCTGGGCCTGGAGCTCTGGGAGGTGGACGAAGGGGTTCTGGAATATTCCAGGCTGGTGCCAGATCTGCCACAGCAGCCTTGTCTGGCTCCTGGCTCAGCTCTTCCATTCTGAAAGAGCCTGTGGCTCCCCCCGACCCCTGCCGCCTCCACCGCTCTCAGTAGGGAATGCTACTGTCTCTTCACATCCTTCTGCCAACCTGGGGCCCAGGCATGTCTCATGGAATCTAAAGTTGCTTTTGAAGGAATTCTTTCTCCATGGAGCAGATTCCTTCTCCTCCTCCGGCATGGCCTGAGCGTGCTCTTCCTGGCCAGGATTCCAAAAGAATGGCATCAGAGGGTGACGAGGGTCCCTGAGCGCCTCCTAAGCTCCTCAGACCTCCCTCCTCGCTCAGGACTCCACAGCAAGGCATGGCTGGGAGGGAACCGCATGTGTGGGGACCAGGATGGACACCAGGCAGAACCTCAGGTCGTCAGCAAAGCCCTCAGCGGGTCCCCAGGGCCACTCACCTCCCTGCACCAGTGTCTCCAGCCAGTCCTGTGTGTGCCTGCTCTGTAGCCTGTTGTGGTCCCTTTCCTGCTGTTGTGGGTAAAATTGTGTTCCCTGAAAAGATGTGTTGAGTCTTGACCCCTAGCACTTGTGGGTGTGGCCTCAGGTGGAGATGGGGCTGCTGCAGATGCATGAGCTCAGATGGAGTCACCCTGGAGCAGGAACCGTAATCCAACCACTGGTGTCCATGGAAGATGGGGAGAGACACAGGCAGACTGGTGTGTGGCTGGGTGGGGCCACAGCCAAGGGTGCTGGCCCCCCAGAAGCTGGCAGAGGCAGGTTGGCTCCTCCACCGGTGTGCACAGCCACACCAACCACCTACTTGCTCCAGGCCCTGGAGACCCCACCCCTAGGATGCAGGTGATTCCCAGAGGCTTGGCCTGCAGCCCGGCCGGACGGGTTGTGCCTGGGGGTCTGACGCATTCAATGTAACTGAGAGAGGCTGGGTTCACCAGGCTGCCTGGGAGGAGACGGTGTCTACTTTCGGGTGCACCTCAGCACAGGGTTGGTGGGGGGTCCCAGCTGGGGCAGTCAGCCTGAGTCAGTGCACAGCCCACCTCGGATGGCCTCTGCCCGTGGCGGTGACTCCTGAAATTCTGTTGAGGCAACCCTGGGGCCCCGGGCTCTACAGTTGCCCAAGTTGATGTCAAGCTTTGAGCTGTGGTTCTTGCCTCTGGAGCAGCTCTCCCCACCATCCGGGCAAGTGGTCTCTGGCTAAAGTGAGTTTTCCTTTTATTTTTTAGCTAAACAAGCCCATGTTAGCAATACCCGGGCTGCCCCCAGGATGGCGTGAGCCCATCAATGCTCCCTGTGACAGGGACCCCTCACCAAGGACTCAGGTGCAGAATCCCACAGCGTCCTGTGTCTGCCCTGTGTGATGCATGCTACGACATCACTGCACACATAAAAATCATGGGCGTATTTCAGAAACTAAAACAGCCATGCCCTTGGCCTGTAACACTATTTGTAGGAAATTAACCTAGAGATACAATCAGGTGTGAGATGACGATTTGCCTGTGTGTTGTTTTGCCGCAGTATTTATGACAGTCAAGAATCACCAGAAGCCCTGATTAAATTTTGAAACACACATCCCAGGAAATATTTACTCAGCTATTTAAAATCATGTAGAAGGGTGGCATCATGAAGAAACGTTTGAGTGAAAAATGTGTTACACGCAATATACATTGCTTTTATAATTTTGTATAAAAGGGCATCAGAAGGATAAAGAAAAGACATCTAGGTGATGCTGTTAAAGTATATTGTATTTTTATTTTCTATATTTTCCAAAGTGAACACAATGATTTTGTACTCAGAAAAAATACGTATTATTTGTTTTATGCATCAGAAGGTAATGGTCATTTGTGTGTGAGAACTTTGGATGATGCGTCCGGGCCAGCAGCCTGCCAGATTTTATCCCCAAAAGAACATCTCCGAAGTGTCCTTAATCACTGATTCTGCCTTAATGGTTTGTGTTAATGTGAATTCCGGACTTCCCTGCTGGGTAAAGCCATCAAAAAGACAGAAGTCCAGCAGCTCCTCCTGTTCCTTCCTGTCCCGCCCCTCCCTGCCCTGTCCTCGCTTCAGAAGTCAGTTGTTCAGTCGTCCATGTGGGGACTGGGTTCTGCTGGCTGCTGGAACACAGGGACCTGCTCACACGTCATACTGGCCCCCGGGAGGGAGGTGCCAGCAGCTGCAGCTGCCCTCCCATCACCTACACAGGCGCCACGTCGCCTCTGCTGTGGCGTGAGCCCTGGGCGAGCAGGAGCCACCGGCCTTGCTCAGCGCTGCGCCCGGAGTGGGCCCCGGTTGCCCAGAATCGAGGGTTCATTTCCAGATTTCCCTGAGCGGGTCTGGGGCCATGGCTCCAGAGCGGCCCTGACATGCTGGTGTAACACCTGGGGCTCTCCCAGGTCACCAGGAGCTTCTGGATTTCCTCACACAGCCCCATTCCAGTCTCCACCCTTCCTTATTCCCCTCCCAAGGCACAGAGTGAGGCTGTGCAGAAAACACCTGTGCCTGCCCTCGCGTGGCCGGGGCCACTGCCCCCCCGAGCCCGACTCCCCTGGCCTTGGGCCTTGGCTCTGGGAGCTGGGCCCTGCCTGCTGCAACTCCCATCTCTTGCCTGTTTGTGGCTGATGATCCGGAATGGTCGCTATGAGGATATTCGGTATCCAGGTGTTGTGTTACCTTCCGCCTCCCTCCTGGGGCGCCTCTGGTTCCTGGGAGAGAGGCCGAGGCAGGATGGAAAGAAGCCTGTCCCTTGGGAGACACGGCTTGCGACGTCACCTCGGTGTGCTGGGTCTGCCTGGCCGGAACTTTGCAGGACCATTCTCCTCCTAACACCACAGCGTCCGGGATGCAGGCACCACAGGTCTGCACCTTGGTGCCTCTGTGTGGCCTGAAGCAAGTCGCTGAACCTCTCTGTGCCTATTCTATAAAATACTAAAAACGGTGCCATCTCCCAGCTCTCCACAAAGATCACTAGTTCACAGCAAGGGGAGTGCTCTGGTGGGTGCCCAGGGCTCTCTAGCGGTGTGCACACTGGTGACAGTTGTTCTTTAGACAAGTATTAAATGATTTTTATGGAAAGATGGCATCATTTCTGCTATAATTTAAGACAGAATAAAGACTTGACAGAGCTAGAGAGAGAGAGTTTAACAAATCAACTCCTGAAACTGTGGGTGCTGGCAGTCCGAAATCTGCAGGCGGTGGGGCAGCCGGAGCTGCGGAGAGCTGGGCTGTATCCGGGCCGTCTGGGGCAGAGCACCTGCTCCTCAGGGAACCCGTCTCTTTCTCTCAAGGCCCTTGATGGATTGGATGAGGCCCGCCCACGTTATGTCATACGCTGTACTCAAAGTCTACTGATGTAAGTGCCAATCCCATCTAAACACACCTTCACAGAGACAGCTAACCTAGCATTTGACCCAAAATCTGGGCATGGTGGCCCAGCCACGTTGACAGATAATAAAGCCAACAATCACAGAGACCAAGAGTCTCCACCCTGGTGCCCTAACGTGACATAGTGCCAGCTAGAGGATGTCGGCCGGGCAGAGCGGAAGACACAGGGTTGAGGAAAGAGGCTGATGGCATGTGTGGAATGCCCGAGGGTGAAGAGGGAGATGAGAGAGGCAGGAGAGGTGAGAGGGTGTGGCCCTTTCCTTTCGTCTTGCTTTTAAGACGCAACGGATTTCAGCACTGGCTCTTAAAGTGTGGACCAGCACATTTCAACATCCCAGGGAATTTTGCTAGACGTGCACATTCTCGGGCCCCACCCCAGACCTCCTGGATCAGCAAGGAGCCATCAGAGTGCAGCTGTGCGGGTTTAACAAGCCCTTGGGAGATCCAGATGCAGCCCAAGGCTGGGCAGGCTGGAGGACACCTGCATGCCAGGAGAGCAGCCAGAGGGGAGGGCAGGTGCCCAGAGGGAGTGTGTGGGCTGTGTGGTCTGGGGACTAGGGAGGGTGTTGTGTCTTAGACTAGTGGAAAGGGCAGGGCCTGCGTTTCAGGACCCTTCTGCCTGGGCAGGCTTTCCCTGAAGCTGGAGGGGGCAGGGTTGGGCGGGGCCAGGGAGGGGGTGTGGCAAAGGTTCCCTGAACTGGCAGGGAATGAGCTAGGAGTAGACCTTCTGAGGCACGTTTTGCAGACCATGGGTAGGCAGGAGGCAGCAACTGTGCAGCTGCAGGCACAATGGGGTTGTTTCAGCACTGGGCAGCCCAGGGGACACTTATCCACTCCCTGAGGCCTTTCCATAGTCTCCCTTCACTAGGCTCCAAAGAGATTCTGTAGAACCCAGTGAAACTGCTGATACTCAATACGTTTCTCATGTTTAAAAAAGCAGCCATTTCTTACAGATTTACGCAATACTTTCTGTTGGTGGTTATCATATCTTTTATTCTGTAATTATTTATTTTTTACTCTTATTTATTTCCAGATCTATCTAGGCTATGCAGACCCGCGGGTGCTATAAGGCACCACTGTGTCACTTCATCTTTTTATCCCTTTGCCTCACCCTGTTCCTGAACGGTCACCACCCTGGAACGTCCAGGCGCACATGTGCCACTGGACAACGGGATGTTGGGGCACACACATGCTGCTGCGTGCTGGAATGGTGCACACATGCTCTGCTGAACACTGGGATGCTGGTGCATGTGCACATGTTATTGGCATGAGCTGTAGTTTGAACCTCAGCCATTTGATGCTTGAATTCCCAAACCATTCATGGAAATGGGTACTTCTTCCTACTGGGATCTCTCTCTCTCTCTCTCTCTCTCTCTCTCTCTCTCTCTCTCTCTCTCTCTCTCTCTTCTAACTGATTGTGGGGAAGGGTCTTATCACATTGTCCAGGCTCAAACTTCTGGGCTCGAATGATCCTTCCACCTCTGCCTCTGGAGTAGCTGGCAGTATGGGCCTGAAATACTGTTTCTTTAAGGAAGGGCATGTTACCTATTATTCCAAACCACAAAAGGAGGGCCCCGGCGCTGGGCAAGGAGAGGTCAGAGTTTCTTGCACATGGCCTTGTAGTGGCAGCCATGGCCCTGCATAGAATCTGCAGGTGGCAGCCAGGACGCTACGGGTGTCGAGTGCACATTGTGGCCGGGTGCCAACCATGGCGAGGGTGGGGAGCCCCGTGCCTGCCGCGCGCACTTCCCTCACCCGGTCCTGCGTCCTTGGACAGGCGATGCCCCTGCCTGGAGGGGCCAGTCCACCCCCGGCCAGCCACGGACCCACGCATGGACCCAGCGACCCAGGGACCCACTTACCTGGGTGTGGCGCGGGTGACATGCGGCCACGCGGAGGGGGCGCGCTAGGCTGCTGCGGCCTCTGCAGCTTCTGCACCCGCCACGGGGCGGCCAGAGGTAAAGGGAGGCGCGGTCAGGCGCTGCCCCGCCGAGGCACTGCGCTCCCTCGGTTGTCCACTCGCGTCCCCGCGGCTGCTCCATGACTGGAAGGCGTGGGGACGCGGAATGGGGCGGGGGGCGGGGGCGGGGGGACTTGCGCGGGGCTCCCAGGTGACCCCGGCGGTGACTGCGGGGCTCCCAGGTGACCTCGGCGGTGACAGAAATTTCTAGGTGACCTGTGTGACTGACACGCGGGCCTCCCAGGTGACCTCCGCGGTGACACGCGTGGCTCCCAGGTGACCCGCGGTGGTGACTCGCCGGGGCGGGCGCGCGCCGCTTCCGCTTCCGCCGAGCCGCCCCCCGCCCCCCGCGGCGCAGCGCGCGCCCCCCTCCCGGTGGCTCGAACCAATCCCGGGAAGGGAGGCGACGGCTCGAGGCCGGGAAGCGCCACCGCGCCCCCTCCCCGCCTCCGCCGCGCCCCCTCCCCACCCGGCGGCGCCCCCAGTGCGGAGGAAGCAAATCCGCGAGGATCATTCGTGCTGCGTCGGAGGATGAGGTTTTGGCTGCGGACTGAAGAGATGGCCCTGGAAGAAATGGTGCAGAGATTGAACGCGGTTTCCAGGCACACGGGTAGGAGGAGCTGCGGCCTCAGTGATCAGAGCCCCCGCTTGGCATCGGGGCTGCGTTGTAGGGAAGCGCGTCTGGGTTTCTGAGCCACCCTCGTGTTCCCTTGCAGCAGCCAGCTGTGATGTGGGGGCCCTGGTGGGTAGCCGGGGTGCGTCCAGGGGCTGTCGGCGATTGCATGCCGCCCGGGAGGGTTGCAGTGACTGCGCACTGGTGACTCGGGCTCTCTCGGGGACGCTGGGTCTGCATGCGGAGCCATTTGTGTGTCTGAAACCTGCCCATCCACCTGCCTGTCCTCGGCGCTGGCCACGGAGATGGAGAATGCACCAGCGCTTGGGAGCTGAGAACCATCTGAGCCAAGGGCTGTCAGAGCTCGGGGTCTCAGAGCCAGGGGCGGGGATGGTGAAGCTGCTGGAAGCTCATTTTGAGGAGGAAAAAATCTGGACGAATCAAGTGGTTCTTTTCTTCATTCAGTGCGATTTAAACCTCAGACAAATGTGTGAGACGGTGTGGGTAAAGAGTGGACTCTGGCGTCACTGGACGTTCATTTTCAGTATTAATCAAAATATTACTTCAAATAAGCTTTGAAGAGCAGTTCAGGTAGATTCTTTAGGATGTAAGCAGAGACGGGGCTGACAGCTTGCCTCTGGCCACGGCTGTCAGGCAGTGGCATCTGAGTTCTCACGCTGCGTTATGCAGAAGGAAGAGGCATCCTTAGTAGTTTTTCTTAAAATGAAGAGGAAATAATGATGTATCCTTGAAACTCAGCCGGTAAATGCTTTGTCTGACGTTGTCGTGTGTTACGTTCTATATGCCATCACTAGTTGTCTAACTAGGTCTTGCCTGGGAGATTAAAATGTCAGTTACTTGGTTTGGGTGTGGTTCTATCTCTTTCTTTACCCACCCCGATGGATTCTGAAAGCAAACCAACGACTAAATCAGCATCAGTACCATTGTATGGGATGGTCTAATCAAGCTGTTTTTAATGTGAGTTTTGGGGATCAAAGCTGCTGGGTTTATTGTGTCTGGGTCGAAAGAAAACAAAACCATTTCCATGATGTCTGCTCCCTGGTTCTTAGAGAATCATCTCTCTTTTCCTGAAGCTTGAGTGGAGCTTTTCCGTGCAGGGTTTGCAGGGTTCGAGTATAGCGAAGGGCTGTGTGGATGCCAGGTTCACAGGGAGGCTTCTAATCGGCTGGCGGCGGGTAGGAGAAAGCGCCCCCTTACTCTGTGTGCCTCTGCGTGTGGCTCGGTGTCAGAATCACAGAGTGGGACTGCTCCAGACAGTGATGTCATTCCCCGAGTTTTTAGGAATTGGGGTTTCTTCATGGGCTCCGAGAGACACCTGCGCATTCTCAATTGTAAAAAGGCTATCTCAGAAGAGCAGCAGTGACACCAGCCAGTCCCTGAATGTCATGGAGCTGGGCGCTCGGTGCAGGCCATCGTCTCCTCGGGAGCAGGCAGTGAGATGCGCATCCTCCCACACATCAGCATTACCGGTAATCGCATGCTTCACCAGGACTTTCAAATCCAGCTTACCAAATAGCCACAGTTATGAGCACTCCATAGTGCTTAGTTAGGGAGGGTGAGCCTGCATCATACCCCACTTACCACCCACTAATGCTGGCCTCTTCCTTCAGTACAAACCCATTTTTTGCTGACGCTGTGTGTGAGGTACCACTGAATGGGGCAGGTTATGAGGCTGAGAGGCTGTAAGCCATCACGCGGTGGCTAAATTGTGCGGTGTTGACATGATGCTGCTGCAGAGTGTAGGGGTGTGGTGCACGTTCTCTGGTAGGGCTATAGGTCAAGGTTAACCTGATCCCCACCTCGGGTTTAAATTCCAAGCACTTCCTCAGGAGAATTCCCCACCCGCAGGAGGACGCCTTTCAGCTCAAGGTCACAGAGATGCTTCTCCCTCTAGGGTCATGCCAGGGTCCGTGCCAGGTAAGAGCTGATGACAGCAGTGGCATCTGGCATAGGTCCTCAGAGCGGGGGCGGGGCTAGGTCACAACTGAGGGTTTGCAATACAGCGGCTGGCCTTAGAGCAGCTGCCTCATTCAGCTGCACAGAGCTTCACCCTCTGCAGATTCACCCCCAGCCCGCAGGCATTTCATCTTTGCTGCTGCTCAGGGCATGCTGCTGCAGTGTTTCAGTTTCAGATGTATGCCTTTCTTCTGTCACCTAGAACCTTCATTATCTAGGCTAATCTGCATGGGAAGCAGGATAATGTGTGCTGGCCATATGGTCTGGGAATCTGTATCCCTTGACCTTGAGAATTGACATTTTATGTGCTCTTCTGGACCTGCTCTTTATTAACAAGGCCAGGAGCACTTTCCCCTGACCCACAGGGCTCATTTTCACCTGTTTTGGTTTTCACTTTGGATTATTAGCCATTGGTGAAAAGATAGAAGACATTTGAGGGAGCAATGCTATGGATATAGTTGATTTAAGTATTCGATGATCTCAGAACAGTGGTCCTCTAACTAGAGCACATAACTGCGTCACCTGGAGGGCTTGTTAAAGCACAGGCTTCTGGGCCCACCCTCACAGTTTCTGACTCAGGAAGTCTGGGGGAGGGTCTGAGAATTGACATTTTTAAGTTCTTGATGAAGATAGTGCTACTCCAGGAATCAAACTTGGAGAACTGCTGTAGTAGAAGAGTCTTTAAATCTAGCCCTGCCTTTTCCATTAGTTGACCTAATACTAACTCTTGTCATGACAGATTACGATAGATGGATAATGCATGGATGGATGGGTGACTGGATGGAGGGATGCATGGGTAGATGGGTGGGTGGGTGGATGGATGGGTGGGTGGATGAATGTAGGGGTGGATGAGTAGATGTGTGGGTGGGTGGATGAATGGATGATGATAGATGGATATGTGGGTGGATGGATGGATGGATGGGTGGGTGGATAGATGACGGATGAATGGATGGGTAGGTAGATGGAGGGATGGATGGATGTGTAGGTGGATGAGTGAGTGGATGTATGGTTGAATGGGTGGGTGGGCGAGTGGATGATGATGGATGAATATGTGGGTGGATGGATGGATGGATGGGTAGATGGATGGGTGGGTGGATGAATGTAGGGGTGGATGAATAGATGTGTGGGTTGGTGAATGAATGGATGATGATACATGGTTATGTGGGTGGATGGATGGATGGGTGGGTAAATGAGTTAGTAGATGGATGAGTGGATGGATGGATATAAGGTAGATGGAGGGGTAGCTGGATGGGTGTATGGATAGATGGATGACTGGAGGGATGGATGGGTGGGTAGATGGAGAGATGGAGAGATGGATGCATAGATGAGTGGATGCATGGATGGATGACTGGATCACCAGATGATGGATGGGTGGGTGGATGGATGGAGGGATGGATGGATGCATAGAGGAGTGGATGCGTGGATGGATGACTGGATCACCGGATAATGGATGGGTGGGTGGATGGATGGAGGGATGGATACATAGATGAGTGGATGCATAGATGGATGACTGGATGTATGGGTAGGTGGGCAATGGTTTGATGGATGGATAAATGGGTGGGTGGATGCATAGTTGAACAGATGGATGGATGCATAGATGAATGGGTGAATGGGTAGATGTGTGGGTGGTTAGATGGGTAGCTGGATGGATGTGTCGGTGGATGAGTAGATGTGTGGGTGGGTGAATGGATGGATAGATGGATGGGTGAGTGGATGGATGGATGAGTGGGTGGATGGATGGATGATGGATGGATGGTGGAGGATGAGTGGGTAGATGGATGGGGGGGTGGATGGATGGATGAGTGGATGAATGGATGTAAGGTAGATGGATGGATGAGTGGGTGGATGGGTATGTGGATAGATGGATGACTAGATGAATGGGTGGGTGGGTGGATGGATGGGTAAGTGAATGTGTGGATGGATGGGTGATGATGGGTAGGTGGGTGGGTGGGTGGATGGGTAGATGGATGAGTGGGTGGATGGATAGCATGCCTGGATGCATGGATGGGTGGATGCATAGATGAGTAGATGCATGGATGGATGGGCAGATGGGTAGGTGGATGGGTGGATAAATAAGTGGAGGTATGGATTGATGGATGACCAGATGGATGGATGATGATGGATGGTGGGTGGGTGAATGGATAGATGACTGGATGAATGGATGGCTGGGTGGATGGATGGATGATGACGGATGAATGGATGGGTAGGTAGATGGAGGGATGGATGGATGTGTAGGTGGATGAGTGAGTGGATATATGGATGAATGGGTGGGTGGGTGAGTGGATGGACAGATGGGTGGATGAGTGGATGGATGGAAGGTGGGTGGATGGAGGAGTGAGTGGATAGATGGAAAGTGAGTGGATGGATGGATGAGGGGATGGATGGATGGATGGATGAGTGAATACATG